TAAAATAATTCCATGATAAGGTTAAAAAACAGCGTAATTTGACTATAAGTTATAGAAGAGAGCATGAAAGGCAACTAAGATGCAAAAGTCTTTGCTTTACCATTCATGGGTTTATGTGGAGGGTTTACTTGGTATCCCTTAGGCTGAATTAAATTCAGTCCATATTTTTCAAAAGGACTCAGAGGACTCCTAGATGTGTGTTCTTCAAATGCTGTGTACCATCAGTGCCACTGTGAGGCTATAAAATGTGAGCCTATATATGAATTCACATGTGCAATTATTGAGATTTATAAGGGTAAATCTTTTTTTTAATTTTTTTTAATGTTTATTTATTTTGAGAGAGAGAGAGAGAGAGAGAGACAGACAGAGCTAGAGTGGGGGAGGGCAGAGAGAGATGAGGGACACACAGATTTCGAAGCAGGCTCTAGGCTCTGAGCTGTCAGCACAGAGCTGGACCTGGGGCTCGAACCCAGGAACCGTGAGATTTGACCTGAGCCGAAGTAGGAAGCTTAACTGCCTGAGCCACCCAGGCACCCCTATAAGGGTAAATGTTAAAGATAATAATACTCAGACAAACAAGAGACTAGGTTTGCTAATTAGAGTAGGATTTGAAAGATTCTTTGTAAGGGACAATGGACCATTGATTAGTGGGAATTCTAGGCCTGAATTACAGCAGTGATTTCTTTTGTATGTAAATACTAAGAGGACTATTTGTATGCAAATTATAGATGAGCCAAGCCTGAACATACTTCCAACAGACAACACAAGTGTGAATAGAACCTGAATTAATTTATTAGTCAGTCCATGGCTAGCCCTCAGAATTTGAAAAGATGCATGAAATTTGTAGATATTACTATCTTGTCTAAATATATTGAACAACAGGCTGTCTATAAAAGCATATCATCCTATACCTGAAGACTATGAAAACTTAGTATCTTACTTTTATAGTTGAGGAAACCAAGTCCTGGAGAAGAGAAAGTGACCAAGATCAAACAGCTAGATAGGGGAAAACAATCAAATTGGTTCAAGCTGCAAGAAAAAATGGAAAGAAGTATTTATTTATATCTAGGTAAGACACAATTTGGGGGCCCTTAGATGGTTCTGTTTCTGCCTCTATTCCCCCAAACTTTCTAGCCTTAGTAGCCATCTGCCAAAGACTCCTAAGCCCCAGTTGTGATGAAGCGTGGTTTACTTGGTAACCACGTGAAAACCAACCTCCTTAGAGTTCCAGATCCTTATATATCCAGCTACCGGCTGGAACCTCTGCTTGAAAGTTCCTTGGGCACTTCAGACTTAATGTTCAAAACTGAACTCTTCTAAACCTGCTCCTCCTTTTCCCCTGCCCCCTATGTAAGTTAATGGCACAACCCGGTTTCTTAAGCCCAAAAGCTAAAGTTAGTCATTGACATTTTCCTTCCCCTCAACTCCCTACATTCAATAAATTATCAAATCCTGCCAATTCTACTTTCCAAGAGCCTTTTGAAGTAGTTTCTTCCTCGCTGCCACGGGCACTGTCCCAGATCGCGATATGCACTCCTTTCTTGCCTAGATTAGCAAAATAATCTTTTATCCCTTCTCTCTGAATCCACCCTTGATCCTACTAAATCTACTTTTCACATAACAACCACAGTAGTTTAAATGTAAATCCAACCAGATCAGCCTTCTCCTACTCTCCACAATGCTTACAACTCTTCCAATGCTCTTTTTGTCTAGAAGATAAATGCCAAACTCTTATGTTTGACATGTAAAGCTTTCCATATCCTGTCTGTCCAAGTCTATCCATTTTATAAAGTCCAAACTTAAATCCCATCTTTTTTCTGGATAGCTTTTCCTGATTTTTCAGATGGAAGTCAGGATTCATACCCTGTTTTCTCATTGTACTTTGCACCTCTATTGTAACATTATGACACTTGGCCTTATGATGAAATCCTCTGCATTTTTTTCAGAATTTATGTTTTGTTCACATACACTGAAACCTTTCCAAAAGATGGAGACATATTTGGTTACTTTTTCATCTCCCACCCTGGGTCTAGCATAGAGCCTATTACCAAGAAAGACCCAAAAAACATTGGCAGAGTTAAAATTCATTCATAACTAGCCTTTTTACCTGTTTATTTCATTTTTCCGTCAGGTATTCTTATATCCTATTGTGTAATGGAAGAAAAGTAGAAAATTTACCTCCTGGGGCATGAGCTTCTAGCCAAATCTCCTGGTTTTGTAGATGTTTCTTGTTGACATTCACCCCATAATAGCGATCCTGAATCTCATCTACATTGTCCTTATCTTTCAGCTCTATACACCCAGGTGCTTGCCCTCCAAACCCTTGTCCTCCCTGGATTTCTGTCCTTCTCTGGCCATGGGTCCAACCAAACACATGGCAGATGCTTTCTGGAAGAAAGATAATCCTCTTTGTAGGGTTCAAGGTTAAAGAGTCTCAGAATCAGAAATCAGAGGTAGAAGGGCTCATAGAGATCATTGAGAATGATGGGTTTTAATTTTTTAAACACTGTAATTATTTCTTTAAGTTAATTCCAATAAAAGAACAAAAATATATAAAACATCAAAGTGGGTGGGACAGCTTTAGCTGGAACCAGAGTGAGACTCCTATAGACGCACTGTTGAGCACTGACCTCTCCCGCTATGAAGTGCCTCTCTAGAAACTCAACCACAGTTTGGAAACACTAGGTTAATCAAAACTGCTCTTTTCACATATGAGGAAATAGTGTCCCCAAGGGAAATCAACATTCTGGAAATCACCCACCTAGTCAATGGCAGAGGTAGATTTAGAATTCAGGTCTCCTGATTCATACCCCAGAATATAATCTACTATCACATTTTCATAGGCCCCTCTCATGATATGAGATACTTAACACAGCTGGGAGGGTGGGATGAAATGGGCCTCATTAGACGAGACTGAACTGCACACATTGACTTAGTATCTATCTCCTTGGCACATAGCAAAGTCTCCTATCCTCTAAACAGCTCCAGCAAGACTAGAGACAGCTACAACCTCATCATCTTTCCAAATTTCCATGTGAGAAGTGGTGGATCTCAGGAGATACCAAAATACTTCAGCGATGGACAGTCCTTGCAGTCAGCACTGGCCAAATAATTTGTTGACCCAGTACAAAATGTAAATGTGAAGTCCCGTATTCAAAAAGCAGAAAAGATGCCATTAAACACCCTCAAATATAAAGGTTTTTCATGTCTATTGCAGTCTTTCAATCTGTCATGGTGCTTTAAATTTGCGATTTAGGGGCGCCTGGGTGGCTCAGTCGGTTAAGCATCTGACTTCGGCTCAGGTCATGATCTCGCAGCTCGTGAGTTTGAGCCCCGCATTGGGCTCCGTGCTGACAGCTCAGAGCCTGAAGCCTGCTTCAGATTCTGTGTCTACCTCTCTCTCTGCCCCTCCCCTGCTCACACTCTGTCTCTCTGTCTCTCTCAAAAATAAATAAACATTAAAAATACATTTATGATTTAGTATCACACACTCGAAGGCACAAGGATACCTGTAGGGCAAGGGCAACCACACACAGGTTCCTAGTGACTCGACTCTATGATTCAATGCACGTGTGTATGGTCCCCTGGGGACAGTTTTCCTCCTCCCGAAAACTGCCGGACAGATGTATTTTACCCTGGTCAAGAGTAAGTCGAGCCGGGCATATCCCCTTCCCATTGGCCAGCTGCTCCAACCCATGGTGGACAGGTGGCAACCACAGGTAGTGCAACCTCTGCACCAGGATGCACTAGGTACCTGGATCAGGGTGGGCAATGAACCCTGCTGAGTCATCTGCCAAATGTACCATGGCACTACTACCCTGGGGCCAGGATGGCTATTACCAAAACCAACCCTGAGATGTTGCAGGACATATATGCCTAACCCTAATCCTTCCAAGGCTCTTGCCCAGGCACCTGAGAATGAAGGCTTGCAGCTGTCACCGGGTTTGACAGAGAGAAAAAGGCTGGGTTGGGTACTGGGTATAAAGGGGCAAGGAAGTGGGTAGCTGAGAACTGTCTCAGGGAGGTGGAGAGGCAGTGAAAGATGTGACTCTGTGCTAGCAGACTTTCCAAGCTCCCAGTGCATATACTCAATTGGCCCATCACACTTTGGATTTCACTTACAAAGCACAAATTCAAATTATTAAAAGTTTAACACAGTAATGTTAAACCCCAGGTGCAAGGACCTTCTGAACTCGGGCCCTGTACCACTGCAGAATTCACATGTCCATGAAGCCAGTTCTGCTTAGAGAGAGGGATTTCTTTTACCTTTATCAAGCAGTATAGTGTAGTGGTTAAGGATACGACCTCTGAATGAGACTGCCAGACTTTGAGACCCATCTCCCTCACTTCTTAACTCTTTGACCTTAGACAAGTTACTTTTCTATGTCTCACTTTCTTCAACTGTACAATAGGAATGGTAAGATGATCTATCTTACAAGGTTGCTGTGAAGTTTTTATGAGGTGATGCATGCACATTGGTTAGAATGGTGTTCAGACATAGTATATACTCAATAGATCTTTTTATTATCATTTTTTTTTGCTTCTAGGATTCCACATTTTTCAGATATCCAATACAGGCATTAGGTTTTGTTTGCTCTGGATCTGCTGAAGGCCTGTGTTCCAAATGGTATTTACCCAGCTTACACTGTATATAATCAGATTGGATTCTCCAGTGTCCTCTCTGGCTTGAGGGGAACTCCACCAGATCTGTACAAACTGAGTGACCCCCGGTCAGTTGTCACTGGTACAGTTTAGAGTTTTTACTTCCACAATAAGTGTTGGTGTTAGCACTTACTCAGCTTGGTCTCGGGACTATCAAATCCAGCCTTGGGGACCTCGCATCCAGTTCTGCTGCCTCTCCAATAGGCTTTCAAGAAGAGGTTATCTTCATTATCTTATAAATAGTCATTCCTGGTTATTGGGCTAATGAAAAGACTATCCAAGGCAAACTCTGGTGCCCCCATCCCAGTCCTGCTGCCCCAGCACCAACCATTAGGGTCATGGACATTCAAGGGGACTTGGAGTCAGAACAAGATCTGAAACCAGTGGAGCTTAGGGGGATGAGGGATGGTGAGTGGAGGAGAGCCTCTAGAAGTTAAGGCAGCAACGCTGTCCCCTCAGGGGTTACAAGAGAATAATCGTTGACCTCTTTCTGCATCTGCCATTGTTGCTAGAGAAGCTGAGCCATGCTATCCAGGGAGCTCTCGGCACACCTCCATGCCCTCCATCCCACCTCGTACTCAGGGTGGTCTGAAGTCAGCTTCACGTGGGGGGTGGGCTTCTCCAGCTCTTCTGGGCTAGGTGTCCCTCCCGGGCACTGCTCTCGGTGGTGTGCTCAGAGCAGGATCTGGTCCTGGGCTGATTGACCGAAGGATCCTGCTGAGAGAGTCCTCTGCCTCATGAACTTGGCCAGAGCCAGTCGTCAGG